CCCACCGGACCGCCACCTGCCCGGAAGCGCCCCCTGCGTCCCGGAGCCCCGGAATGCTACCCGAGGCGTCTTTTTACCTGTCACCGAAGTGCGGTCCCGCAGTTCTCGGAGCTGTGGGCCGATGTGCGAAGTCTTACTTGGCTCAGCCATTCTCCGGGAGTTCAAGACACGCCTAACCGTGCCCAGCTTTTCGGGATGGATTGATGTTGCACACTTGCTGGCTCCTCAGGGACCCAAGCGTGGAAAATGTGGCACTAGCACACTTAAAAATACAGTTGTCTATCTCGTTTAATTCTAGGAAGTGGGATTTTCTTTGCAGATGAAGGGGGAGGGGGATGGAAACTCATCTCTTAGTCCTTCAATGTGGGACCCTGGAGTTTAGCTATTGTCCCCTTTTCTTACCCAAATTTCCTGATTTAGTTTAGGAAACTACCTAGAGACAGCTCCGAAGTTCCGGTGGGTGGCTAGAAGGCTTCTGCCTCTCGGGCATTGGGTGGGGCTTCCAGGAAGGTGGTGGCTTTGAGGCGTCCTTATTTTAGGATAGAAAAATTTGTTTCTGGACACTCAAAACTTGACTGAGATCAAAATAACGTACATTTTAGTGCCCCGTCTTTATTACCCTCTGCCGTTTAGCACTTTTTTCATTATGAATGTGGTAAACCACAAAGGCAGGAGAGTATGTATCAACAACCCAATCATCAATAGAAACTATTGTTTTCTCCAGGACGTTGGTTGTTGCAGACGTCTCAAATTACGGTTGTTATCGTGTAGCACCCCACCCCCATCCTGATGTATGTCAATAAAGAAGCAATATATTACTATTGCAAAAATATGTTAACTTTTAATATTCTATTAATATTTTAATATAATTAGTTTTCTAATTATATATTATATATAATTTTAAAACATATATGTTATGCATGGGGTCTTGGTCTTCTGAAATTTGCTGAAGGGGCTTTGGTCTACTCTGCTTCCTGTTTTTGTAATGAAATATTCTGACCAAAAGCAACATGAGGAGGAAAAGGGTTATTTTATCTTACATTTCCAGGCCCATCACTGAGGGAACTGGGGACAGGAACCTGGAGCAGAGATCAGGGATGAAAGCTGCTTCCCGGTGTACTCCCTCTGGCTCTTTAGAGCCAGCTCCCTCCTACAAGCCAGGACCAACTGCGCAGGTCAGGGTACCATCCCAGTGTGCTGACACTCCTGAAGCAGGATAGTGGCCTTTCCTTGGAGCTGAATATCCAGGTATTGGCAATGGAAGCAGAGTGCAGGGGGGCGCCGCTTAGGAAGCTGTGCCAACATCATCAAGGGTCTTCACAGTGGCAGCAGCTGTCAGAGTGAGTCTCTCAGGAGATATTCCACCTCCCCACCAGTCAGTAACTCCAGTCAAATCTAGCCCACATTGGGGGTGATGGATCCAAATGCAGATGAACTTTAAGATCATGGTTTGAGCAAACACATTTGGATGAGGGTGAGAGACTGTTGGAAATGACCATCTAGTAAAGTGGGAAGTATCAGCCGTGTGATGTTTTGTTTTGTTTGTTCTTAGTTTTCAAGACAGGGTTTCTCTGCGTAGCCCTGGCTGTCCTGCAACTCCCTCTGTAAACCAGGCTGGCCTCAGAGATCTGCCTGCATCTGCCTCCCTTCGTGCATCCTTCGTGACCACCAGAAGTGGGACAGAACAAGGACAGGTATTTTATAGAAGTGTATTTATAAAGCGGCTAAGAGATTGTCCTGTGCCCTCTGAGGACATGGTAATCTCTGGGATCAAAGGAATGAAATTAACAGAGGTAAAAACAGAGGGACAGTAGCAGGAAGATCTGTCACTGATTGACTGTTAATTGATGTAGTAGTACCCAGCCCCCTGTGGGTGTTACCAACCCCTAGGCAGGTAGTCCTGAGTTATATAAGAGAGCTGACTGAGGGAGAAAGACTGAGACAAAAAGAGATAGATGGGGCTGAGGGGGATAAGAATGCAAACCTGGTTATACAGGCAGTGTGTGTGTGTGTGTGTGTGTGTGTGTGTGTGTGTACATGCCTACAGAAAACAAGGTGGGCACATTGCGAGAAGGAATTCTGCAAACCCTATTACCTGGTAAAAACTACTTTGTTTAAATGAAGGCTCAGAAAAACAAAATGGGTATGGTGGTACACACCTGCAATCTCAGCACTCACGAGGCTGAGGCAGGAGGATTCCCATGAGTTGGAGGCCAGCCTGGGCTACATAGCAGAAGCCTGTCCCAACCCCTCCTCCTCTCAAAAAAGGTTTAGAAAACAAAAAGAAATATGAGAGCCTAACTGTAGTATCTCAGGAGAAAGTTTCACAGATTGAAAACCTTTATGGAAAGGGAGGGAGCGCCATTAGTAGAGATGTTCACTCAAAGAAGCGTTCTGGAATTCTTAGGTTTACCAGTGTCTTAGTTTTACTCATCTACTTGCCAAATGAAAGTTTTGTTTGTTTAATATCTCACAGTTAGCAGGTATCTTCGTTAGGTTTTTATTGCTGTGAAGAGACACCATGACCATGGCAACTCTTATAAAGAAAACGTTTAAGCTGGGTGGCTCACTTACCACCCAGATGTTCACGTTGTCACCATGGTGGGGAGCATGGGAGCGTGCACGCAGAAGTGCTGGAACAGGGAGTCCAACATCTTAGCATGCAGGCCACAGGAAGTTGACTGACAGTCACACTCAGACCTCAAGGCCCGCCCCCACACTGACACACTTCCTCCAACAAGGCCATGCCTCCTAATAGTATGGGGGGGCATTTTCTTTCAAACCACCACAGTAGGGGAATTTTCAAATATTTTGAAAGTATTGGTCACCCACAGAGAAGTATGGACAATCTGTGCCATACCCAATATCGTTTCCACTTCCTGGGAACTTGAATCATTTTGCTATCAGAGAATATCCAGTTTGCTTCTTTATACAACATAGAAACCCTTGCATTTTGGTGAAACGTCTTAACCCAGGCTTACATTTCCTGGTAGCTCTTCAAGGAGAGGTCAAGTGTCAGAGGTTAGCACAGTCTGTGCGACCTTGTTCTTGCCTCACATCCTGCCTCTGCCTTATACTAACCATGTGGCCCTTCATGGCTTCGTTTTCCCAGCCGTGCGGTGGGAATGGCCCGCCTCGCAGTTACTCTGCTATGGTAGAGGTAAACAGTTGCTGGGACACAATATGTGCATAATGCCGCACTACCAACCTCCGCTCGGCGGCTCAGACTTCCCGACGTGACAGCTTTCAGGAGCCAGTCATTGTGACCCATATTATAACTTTGTAAAGAAAAACCAGACATTAAACGGTTTCAAATGAGACGATTCTCAAAGACACGTGTTTGTGAGAAAGTTTTCCCATGGCCCAAGTTTTTCTCTTTATATAAGTGCTAGAAGGTTATCTCCTCCATGCGGAATTGTAATAATTTTTGTTTTCATCTTTTAGGTTGTTTTATGTGTTCTAAATTACAGTGTATCTAACTGGGGCAAACACCTCGTTGGTTGAAGTCAGAAGAATCCCAACTGCCAGCTGTCCTTTATTTTAACACCCAGATCTATTTTAAAGTAAATTGCATTTGAATGTTTCTAATTCACTTACAATGAGGTCATTAAAATGTTGCAGCCTGCCATTTTAGGGGGAGTTTTTTTTTTTTTCCAGAGAATTTTTCTAAGTCAGGAAGCCACACTTTGCCAGCCAGGAACAAACTTAAGCCTTAAATAAATCATATTCAACGTAACGGTGAATTTCCAACTCCAAGACGAGATCCTCAGGCGGCAAACTTGGTTCTTCAGCCCTGACGTTACTAGGAAGAAACACATCTCACGTCATACATATTACAGTCATGAAAAAGCTAACAGTGAGCTATTAAAATTAATTTGTTGAAGGGAAAAATCATTTGCTGCCCTCATTCAGCCTTTCGTCTCTGTGACAAACAGTTTGAGCAAATAGCTTAAGGAACTCCGGAAGGACTTAACTTGGTTCACTGTTTAGAGGTTTCAGTCCTCCATCTGTTGGCATCATTGTTTCTGGGCTCTGAGGAGGCCAAACGTCATTGGTGGAAGGGTGTGGGGAGTGGCGCTTTTGACTTCATGACTACCAGGAAGTGGGACAAAGAAGGGTCCAGAACAAGAAATAGTGTCAAGGACAAGTCCCTAGGGACCTACTTCTGCGTAGACCCCACCCCACAGGATTGCATCACCTCTGAAGAACTCCGTCATGTAATGAATCCATCGTGGGTTAATCCAGTGATTGAGTTAGAGTCTCAGGACCCCTTTACTTCTCAATGACCGAATCAGCTGGGGACCAAGCCTTTGAACATCTGAGCCTCTGAGTTGGGGTCAGTGCCAAACCAACACTTGCTGCCTACAAATGTGTGCCGCTGTGAAAAAAGTAAAAGACAGGATGTTGTGAGTTAAGTGTGAAAGCAGTGATCTCTGCAGCCGGCGTTAGCTCCGGGAGGGCGGCCAAATCTCACCACTGCCCACCTGATTATAAAGTGTGCCAGTTCCGGAGGGTGGCTCAGTGTCACCACTGCCCACCTGTAAGCCTGGAATGAATCACTTCTTTAGCTCCCAGGTTTTTTTTCTTTTCTTTC